TTAAATTCGGCTCTGATCGTTAACACATCGGGCCATTCGTGACGGTTTCTTAAGCCATCGTATTAGCGCCGGTGGAGTTTCTAAGACTTCGGCAGCAACTTCGTGAGTGGTAGCAAAATCTTTGGCTGTCAAAAAATTGGCCGAACACATTGCGAATGTGTTAAATTCGTGTGTGCATCCCTTCGTAAGGCCATCGTGAGGGCATCTTGTCAAATCGTGTCATCTTCGTCTTTACTTCCTGTGATCATCGGTGTCATCGGCCATTTAGCGTCTCACGAAGACAATGCGAAGGAAACAAGAACCAGCCCGATTGTTTCATGAAGTCAACACGACCACGTGAAGCCCTCGCAATGCCAGCGTATGGACATCGTATTATATTACGATGACATCGAGATGGGACCACGGTGTCGGCGAAGACAGCCGAATTTGAATAGCTCAAGCGTTTCCCATGTGTTATGGTAACGTGCATATATAAAAGGCCGGTATCAGAGCATCTTCCTCATTCATTCAGCAAATCTACAGAGCAAAGGCGTCTACAGCAACCAAAGCTTTACTTTAATCACAATTCAGTTCTAGCAGAATGACATACTTTGATAAAGAAAAAACAAGAAGAAAGAAGGCAGCAGCATTACTTCTTTTGATGCACCTCAAAAAACATGACGAGGAACTCTTGCAGGCTCAGCACCTCCTCTTACAGGTATAAATTGTCTCCTTTCAACTTGTCGTTTCTATTTATTTGTGTTTGTAGCATTTGACAGTGTACTATTTTGTTTTGCATGTTATTTTCCAGAACACGGGGAAACCGCGGCGAAGGAGAAAACAGAGGTCTGTGTGGGTCAGGAAATGGCTGTCTGTAAAGCGTAGAGAATGCTATGGCCACTATACCACTTTATTAAATGAACTTAAAGCAGAGGATGAGAAGGCCTTCTACAACTATACAAGGCTTCCCAAAGGCCTCTACGATCAAGTCCTGAAACGGGTAGAAGGTAGAATAAAAAAGAAGGACACATGGTATAGAAAGTGTATTCCTCCTGGTCTCAAGCTGTCCATCACTCTACGACACCTGGCCTGCGGAGACAACTATCCAAGCCTGTCCTACAATTTCAGAGTTGCTCCAAACACGATCTCCCTCGCCATAGACGAAGTGTGCGATGCCATCAAAGCCGAGTTTGCTGCTGAGGTGATCCAGTGTCCTACTACAACTGAAGAGTGGACTGCCATTGAGGAGCAGTTTGAAAAGAGATGGCGATCACTTGTCCATGGAATACTGGCTCTGAGTACAGAAACTACAAAGGCTTCTTCTCTATTGTCCTCATGGCCTTGGTTGATGCAGACTACAAGTTTCTTTGGATTGATGTCGGGTCTGATGGCTCCAGCAACGACGCTAGTGTTTACAATGGATCAGAATTGAAGGAAGGCCTAGAGAATCCGAACAACATGTTTAATCTCCCTGAAGAGAAGTCTCTACCTGGTGATGACGTTCCTGTCCCATACTATATAGTAGGGGACAATGCTTTTGCGATCAACAAGCGCCTGATGAACCCGTTTTCCATCAGAAACATGGAACACCACGAGAGAATATTCAACTATAGACTCTCAAGAGCCAGACGTGTAGTGGAGAATGCCTTCGGTATTCTGGCACACAAGTTCCGAATCTTGCTGGGGACCATGACTCAGAGACCCGAGACATGCAGGAAAATCATAACAACTTGTGTGATCCTTCACAATCTCATCAGACTTAAATATCCAGCCACCCACACCAACCTGATGGACGTGGAAGACCAGAACCAGGATGTCATCCCAGGGGCATGGAGAAATGACAAAGTACTTTTGGATGTTTACCATGAGAAGGCAAGGAACGCAGGAACCAAAGAGGGGAGGCAAATTAGAAGATACTTGGGCCACTACTTTACCTCAGTGGCTGGTTCTGTGCCTTGGCAGGACAAGATGATCATGTAATGTCCGACAAAGAGGGACAGCAAAATGAACAGAGAGACAGTTACATTGTGATTATGAAAACAAATATTTTCACATACATGTTTTGCATTGTAACTACATACATGTGTATGAAGTAATAAATTTGTGCGGTGTTTTAAACTTGTGTTTTTAAGTACTTTATCATTAATTGAATAGAGGCCTTACATATAGATAGTTTAAAAATCCCAAGTTTCCTAAATGTAAAGTCATATTAAATTAACTTTTACTTTTCTGACGACATGAAAATTTAAAACCGTTCCACCTCTAATTTGCGTTCTTAATTTAAGATACTTAGTGTAGAACTTAGCCAATAGATTTAACTTCCTCGAAAATTTTAACTAATGACAAAGGCTAGTATGAATTTTGGTTTGGGATTTTAAATTCAAGTTTTTATTCATGGCTCTGGGCAATGTATTTAACATTGCTGGGAATTTTAAACTTAGGAAAAAGGCAAAACATTCAAGTATATAAATCCCTAGTTGGGACTTTAAATTGAGATATTGGACAAAACATTTAACAAAGAGCAATTGAAATTTCCAACAGTCGGCCGAAGGTTTTATACCCATTGAAAGGTCACGTGACACCTTCGTGACTTGATTCGAACGCATCGTACTCTCAATACGACGTCTTGTTGCCATCATATTGCCTTCGTGTGTCCTTCGGGTAAACATCTCAATAAAAAATCACATTTTCATGTAGCCTTCGTGTGTGCTTCGGGTGCCATCGTGTGACCATCTGTAGGTATCGTACTTGCTTCGGCTGGTGATTAGCTAGTGACCAATTTCGGGGCAACTTCGTGCGAAATTCAAAATTTCAATTTCGTATCGCCATCTGGTGTCAATTTCGGGACAGTGTGACGCCTGCATTATAAAGTGAAAATACATGAATTCTTTGAAAATCTTCTTCTCTGCTCCTATGTATTAAATAAACTAACTAAGTACATAGTTATGATAAGCAAGTGTTCCTCAACCAAGATTGTGAATTTTATGGCCCCAGGGCCAAGGGTTCTGGTGTGTGTGTGGGTGGGTGGGGGGGGGGGCTCTATTGATTATATAGTGAAAATATGTGAATTCCTTGAAAATCTTCTTCTCTGCTCCTAGGTATATAAACTAACTAAGTGCATAGTTATGATGAGCAAGTTTGCCTCAACCAAAATTGTGAATTTTATGGCCCCAGGGTCAAGGGTTCTGGTGTTGGGGGGGGGGGGGGGGCTCTATTGATTATATAGTGAAATTACATGAATTCTTTGAAAATCTTCTTCTCTGCTCCTAGGTATTAAATAAACTGACTAACTGCATAGTTATGATGAACAAGAGTGCCTCAACAAAAATTGTGAATTTTATGGCCCCAGCATCAATGGTTCAGGGAGGGGGGGGTACTTTATTGTTTATAAAGTGAAAATACATGAATTCTTTGAAAATCTTCTTCTCTGCTCCTAGGTATTAAATAAACTAACTAAGTACATAGTTATGATAAGCAAGTGTTCCTCAACCAAGATTGTGAATTTTATGGCCCCAGGGTCAAGGGTTCTGGTGTGTGTGTGGGGGGGGGGGGGGGCTATTTATTATATAGTGAAAATATGTGAATTCCTTGAAAATCTTCTTCTCTGCTCCTAGGTACGGTATTATATAAACTAACTAAGTGCATAGTTATGATGAGCAAGTTTGCCTCAACCAAAATTGTGAATTTTATGGCCCTATCATCAAGGGTTCCGGTGTTGGGGGGGGCTCTATTGATTATATAGTGAAATTACATGAATTCTTTGAAAATCTTCTTCTCTGCTCCTAGGTATTAAATAAATTAACTAAGTGCATAGTGATGATGAGCAAGAGTGCCTCAACCAAAATTGTGAATTTTATGGCCCCAGGGTCAAGGGTTCTGGTGTTGGGGTGGGGGGGGGGCTCTATTGATCATAAGGTGAAAATACATGAATTCTTTCATAATCTTCTTCTCTGCTCCTAGGTATTAAATAAACTAACTAAGTGCATAGTTATGATGAGCAAGAATGCCTCTTCTAAAATTATGAATTTCATTGCCCCAGGGTCTGGGGTTCTGGTTTAGGGTGGGGCTCTATTGATTATATAGTGAAAATACATTAAATCTTTGAAAATTTTCTTCTCTGTCTCTGGGTATGAAGCAGATGAACTACCTATCTAGTCATGATGAGCAAGGGCCCTAATCTTGCAGAATTGTGAATTTCAAGGCCCCAGGGTCAGGGGTGGGGGGGGGGGGCTCTACTTATATACTGAAAATGAATTAATTGTTTGAAATCTGGTCCTTTGTATTTATAAAACATTTATTTACTTTTTGATAGGCAATTATAAGGGTGCCTTTTGAAAATATATGCAACCTAGGGTCAGGGGTTTATGTCAGAGTGTTAGGGGCACTACTGATTATTGATGAATATTACTGATTAGTTGGAGTGCATTTTTCCCCCTACCCTGCGTATGGGTATTCAGTAACCAAGCTAAGCAACTGCTAAGTTTATTGTTATGATGATCAATGGTGCCCTTTCAAAATTGTGAATGCCATATAGCATCTGGCTCAAAACATGAATCAAATTCAATACACTGTAACTGGAAAGTTGTTGCATAATGCTCAGGTGACCTATAAGCCCGTGGGCCTCTTGTTATGGACGTGAAAGCTCTCTAAATGGCAGAAGTCTGGCAAACGTTCAGTTTTATTAAGTGATATGGATTTCATTTGAAAAGAATTGGTCCAAGAACTGAGACAGATATGAAGTGAAATTACCTAGGTACATAGTAGCAGAATGAAATGACCTGGCGTGAAATGACCTACCTTGAAATGGTATAGGAGAAAAATAACCTTGGAGAGAAATACTTATGGAGAGAAATGACCTGGCAGACTTGCAAAAGACCAAAAGGGAGAAATGTATCCATTGTCGCAAACCACGGGTTTTTGCGAGTCCACAAGCTTCCAGAGAATGGATGTGAATCTTCCGTGGGTTACCGTCGATGACATGTACCTTGATTATAATATTTGATAGAATAAACATTTATAAAATGGATTTTTATAAATCTATTACGGAAAATCTTGGTTTTGAAGATAGCAGTCCTTCGTTAACCCACGTCACAAAAACGCTTCCATCACATGACGTCACAAACCGCCATGATTCCCCAAAGCAGAACGAAGTAGATGGAAATGTGATTAACTCGCTCCGGCGAGTTGACTCTCAAATAAGTAAAGAGGTAAAGACCCCCTATCAAACGAAACATATATCTATCTCCATTAAACAAACAAATTGAAATTTTGAAGAAAAAAAATGTATAATTATTCAAAACAGTTTAATTCTTGAAAACTCTATGAAAAATTAAGAGAAAGGTGAGAAATTTGCTTTTGCATGAAATATCGTTTTCCTCAGAGCCTGGCAAACAGGAACTCTAGATGAATCAATTTCAGATAAATGTCAAAAGGTCACTGAACTCTGGGGAAAGTCTGAGTTTTACTTAAGGAATAACTGTCTAATTTTTGAATTTCAAGAAGTGATCAATTAAATGGCTTGCATGATAATTTGCATAAACGCCAAAGCCAATTGATTGATCATCGTCATGAAATTAAAAAAACCTGACAAGTATTCCGTATATAAACATGGTCTTTATTCCGCCAATTCACGTGCTACAAGCCCCACTTCTTGTCTCTATTTGTCCCGCCCTTCACCTATTGATGGACCAGTAATATTAGGTAGAAATAAAGTACATTAACTATTAGTAATTTTATCTCGGACAAAGACATTGGAAATGTAAATATTTTATTTGAGTTTTAATTTAGCTTTCTAGTATATGCCAGCTGCTAAATGCAGTAATCTAGTGTACAGTTGTGTGAGGCCGGTTTTAAGATCCGATGGTGTCTGTAGGACACATATCCTTCTTTTAAATCTCTCTAATGTCTTTTTAAAAAATTCATGTCTCTCTATATGTCTGTATATACAGATTGTAGTGCTCCTTAATGATCCGACCCAAAGAAGATGAGACTTGTGATCATAGCACAGACTGTATGGATATTCTATCCCTTGCTGTTCTGTCAGTAGCACTGCCAGGAACTGGCCATACTTGTCAATCAGCTGTATTGTCTTAGTGTAAGCATCACAAACTAGGATATGTGAAAGAGTATCCGTACAAATTCCATGTTGTTTAAATTCTGATGCTTGTGGACCTCCTTTGTAGGAGAATCGACGTGTCCCAACAGAGTCTGTCACCACTATAACACCCAATTCAAAGACATTATTAATCAAATCAGAAACAATCACATCTCCATTTTGGTTTTCTGTGATATATCTAGGATTAACATACAGCCCCTGTCCTGGGTCGTGTTGGAGTTCTTGTCCTTCACTGTTGTACCGGCACACCTTAGCTGTATATAAATCCTGTCTCATCATTCCAATAAGAAAATCTCCATTTGACGGAGAGCAGTATATACAATATGGCTTCCATGGTTCCCCTACCCTCATCAGTGTTGATTTAGTTTCGTTGCTTAACGAGGGTTTGTTGATGTTATAATCCCTATCTATGTACACAAGATGTCCTGCTTTTGTCACTGTGTGCACACCATTGTAATTATATCTCTCCCTCAGAAAAAGTGCATTGTTACCCGCTGTGTCTGTCAAGTTTAAATTGTTCCAACTGCTGACCCAAGCAATGTCCGGAGTCTCACAGGAGATATGACGACTGACGTTATCTAGTATCCACGTAGGCTTTCCTTTGATAGTTTTCTGCACCATTGGTGGAGATATCACTTGAAACAACTGTTCACTTCTTGCTTGTCTTTTTCTGGTTTCTATAGTTTGGATTTTTCCCAGACAATTAAAAACATTATTTTTGTTTATGTCCTAGCTCAGAGAGTGAATTTTAACTATTGATGCACTGAGAGTGTCATTTATTTTGTAAAAGCTGTTCCTCTTCTTTGAAAATAAAAGAAACTGTATAGCTCTGTTTGTTAACTGCTCAGACCTGTGTACATGTGTTTGTATGGATCTTATGTGTCTCTTTTGTTGATTCTGTATAGAGTGTAAGTACGGTTTTATTTTCCTAATGACCACTACTATCTCATCTATCTGATCATTAAGCCTCTAAGCTTTGATAATAATATTTTCCAGAAGTTGGGAGATTTCAGTTTGACAAGATTTAAAATCGGAATGTATACCTGCCTGAATACAATTATTATGCAGCATAATTTCACTTTTTACATGAAAAATTCCTTCCTGATGCTGTTCCCACTGATTTTTATACATCGACTTTATATCCTGAGTTACATGTTTTGTGTGCTCTACACAATGAGAACAAAAAGGAAGCTTACACAAAAGACACCACATTTCACAGGCCATGTTTGGGTGTCTCTCACAAGTCTCTAGTAACATAATGTCTCCATACTTTAAGCGATCAATCACTACATCATGGTGTTTGGTGTCAAAGTCTATCACATGTTCCTCCTTACAGGGTACACACAAATCTTGTTTACATGTCCTGCAGTAGTACTCTGTCCTGTTCTTACACTGAGAACACTCTGGTGGTTTCAGCTCTGTTTGGAATGATCTACTCATAATGCCACCATGTTAATATAATATGCATGCATTAAATTTTTATTTCATAATCCTTTTATGGTTGTTAAATTTCTTCAATTACTTTTTCGGATTTGTGAAGCAACCTACAAAGAAACAGTAATGTTGGTGAATGTGTATTAAATAATTTTTAAAAAATATATAATAATCCATGATCCGTATGATGCAAAATCATTTATCAATGAGCTCCACGATTTAATTGCAGGCGTCTAAATTTTTCACCTAACTGTCCAGCTCTTTGTTGGACATTTAGGTGAAAGGACGAAATTCCAAGTTAAGCTAATTCATTATCTTTTCATCTTTCATCTTTTACCTTTTTATTACATTACCTCTTCTTAAAGTTCTATGCTTTAAAAAATATCAAAAAATACATTTAAAAAAAAATAATAAAACAAGCGCTTGGTACCCATGCACCATTGCACCTTTGTGTTCAGGAATGTCGCAATCATTATTATGCTTCATCGTGCGCATGCGCGAAAATATAGAGGGAAAATTCACAGCAGCAGAGAATTTTGTACAAATATCCTTATTTTTCTGTAAATTTCAACTACTTGTAAATATGGTTTGGTGGGTATGGTGCATGAATAAAGTATTTTGTGTACTTATGTGATTTCTAAAAAATCCTTGCGATTATCTGGACATAGACGCTAACCATATCAGTTGCAGAGGAAATTCGAACTGTAAACAACAATGACCAACTTCGCAAGTAGGATAGTTATGATTGTTTCCTTGGTGGCGTTTTTTATCCTGATGTCAGACGAATCTTCTAACCTAAATAGACATACATCAGAGGTTATAAAACAACAATGGCATCAGGAATGGTTCACGTTCTTCCTCAAAGCATCGACGCCAAAGAAAAACGTTCAGCAGACGGTAAAAGATCTTAGTATGCATCACATTTCGCTTATTTTATTACTTCTTTCAAATGATATTGCATTAAATCCAGGTCCCACAAGTACTTATAATGTCAGTGAGGGCACCCATCATCATGCATATGGAACATGCGAACAAACAGTTGACTGGAGCCAGCATGGTATAGTCTGTGACACATGCAACCAATGGTACCACAGGGCATGCCAGTCAATGACATCAGGATCGTACCAACGTCACGTGAATGACTCAGCCTTAGCCTGGGACTGCATTATGTGTGGATGTCCAAATTGCTCAACTTTTTGTTTTTCGATGGCCTTTAGTACTAGCAACAACTTCAGTATTCTAGGAGAGTTACCAGACAGCCCGGGCAGCGATTCACCCATGCGCCCACTACACACCTCTACCCCAGAAAGAGACAGTAATAATCATAGAAAAGGAAAGTATAAGAAAAATCTAAGACTCTTGAATATCAATTTTCAGTCAGTTAAAACAAAACAAGGTGAATTACTTAATCTCATTGAAAGCACTAATCCCGACGTAATCTTCGGAACAGAAACATGGATTGACCACTCTGTTAAGGATTCACAGTTTCTCCCGACAGGCTTCACTACCTATCGCAAAGACAGACATCTTGGTGGAGGAGGGGTAATCATAGCAGTGAAAAATGATCTTCTCAGTTCGTCAGTGCCTGAATTTGAGACAGAGTTTGAAATCGTGTGGTGCAAACTAAATCTGGTCGGTCATCGTACAATCTACTTATCCAGTTTCTACAATCCAAAAGCAAGTACTGAAGAAGGCTTCCTAAGTTATTACAAAAGTATGGAAAGAGCTTGCAGGGTAAATAATGCTATAATTATATCACCAGGGGACTTCAATCTCCCTGGAATAAATTGGGAAACAAAAAGCACTAAAAGTGGAACACAGTACACAAGGATACACAATAAATTCTTAGAGACTCTTGATGACCTAGGACTATCGCAGATGATCGTTAATCCAACAAGAGGGGCAAACACACTTGACTTTGTGGTAACCAGCTATCCATCCATTGTCAACAGGGTGGAGACCATGCCCGGTATTTCAAATCATGATGTAGTGTTTATAGAATGAAGACGTCATACCAACTAGAATAAAACAACGACCTCGTTTAATACCATTGTACAGAAAGGCAAACTGGGATGAGATCAGGAAAGACATGAAAGAAGCACTAACTGTCATCAAATCCATGAGGGACAAGGCAGTTTCGACCAATAGCCTATGGAATCATTTCCAACACTCCCTCGAAGAAAGTATCAAAGCACATATTCCATCAAAGCTAGCCAGAACTAAGAATAGTAAGCCTTGGATTACACGAGATGTCCGCAGATTGATAAAGAAAAGGAATGCATGCCACAAGAAAAAGAAAAAATCGGGAAATACAAAGGATGCGAACACCTATAAGGAACTAAAACGGAAAACAAAGCAGGAAATCAGACGCTCATACTGGAAGGATGTAGAAAACATTGTAACATCAGGACCAGATGATGCAAATCAAGACAGCAGTAAACGTTTCTGGACATTCGTCAAACATAGGAAATCAGATGGGAATAGCATACCACCTTTAAAAAAGGGTGGCCTTCTTCACCAGGATTCAGTAGACAAATCAAATATACTAAATGAACAGTTCAAAGAAGTTTTCTCGGAAAAAGTGGATATCACAGCTGAAGATTTTTCTAAGCGATGCAGCATGAAGGGTGGATATCCTGAGATTGAAGACCTAAACATATCAGTAAATGGAGTCCACAAGTTACTTAAGGGGCTGAATGTAACCAAAGCTCCTGGACTAGACAACATAACACCAAGGATTCTCAAAGAACTGGCAGATGATGTGGCCCCAATCCTTACCTTGATTTTTAACCATTCTTATCAAACTGGAGAGATACCAGCTGTATGGAAATCAGCCAACATCTGCCCTATATACAAAAACGGAAGGAAATACGAGGCGGTGAACTATAGGCCAGTGTCATTAACATGCATCTCCAGCAAGATCATGGAACACATCGTCACTAGCCACATCATGAACCACGCCGATTTCAACAAGATCATATACCCACTCCAGCATGGATTTGGACGTGGCCTTTCATGTGAAACCCAACTTATTGAGTTCATCGATGACATCACTATCAATATTGACAAAGGAAAACAGACAGACTGCCTTATTATGGACTTTTCCAAAGCATTCGATAAATTGAGCCATAGTCTCCTAATCCTCAAACTCAACCATTATGGAACAAAAGGAAAGAGCAATCAGTGGATTCAAAGCTTCCTTACCAACCGCAGGCAAAGAGTGGTCGTGGAGGGCGAATCATCTGAAGAGGTGTCCATAGACTCGGGTGTTCCCTAAGGCTCGGTCCTTGGACCCAGTCTCTTTCTATTTTACATCAACGACATGCCAGAGGGCCTTCTATCAATGGTACGACTCTTCGCTGATGATACCGTAGCATACATGACCATCACATCAGATGCAGATGCAGAGAAGCTGCAGGAAGACCTAAACCAACTAGCAGTGTGGGAAAATAAGAGGCTCATGAAGTTCCACCCAGAAAAATGTAACGAGCTAAGCATCACCAGGAATCGTAGAGTCATCAAGAAGAACTATACCTTACATGGACACCAACTGGAGCATATCCCCTCTGCAAAATATCTAGGCGTTACCATCTCGTCAGATCTGAAGTGGACTGAACACATAAACAATATCACAGCTAAAGCGAACAGAACCATTGGATTCCTCAACAGAAACATCAATATAAGTAACAATAACATCAAAGAGAAAGCATACAAATCCGTAGTAAGACCAAGTGTGGAGTATGCCAGTGCCGCCTGGAATCCTTATCTAAAGTCAGATATCAACAAAAATGAAATGATTCAGCGCAGAGCAGCTCGGTATGTCCACAATAGATACCACAACACCTCGTCTGTAACCGAGATGCTAAACCAGCTGGAATGGCCATCACTAGAAGAGAGACGAAGGATAGCCTGTCTCAGTGCCATGTATAAACTCGGCAACAACGAAGTCCAGATTGACACTAGCCAGAAACTAAGAACTCAAGACAGAACAACCAGAAACAACAATATACTGGCATTTCAGCTACCATCATGCCGAACCTCAGTGAGGAAGGAGTCATTCTACCCACGTACCATCCAGGAGTGGAATGCCCTACCCACCTCTATCGTGATGGCTCCGAGCCTTGACTGCTTCAAGGCTCGCCTCCGTTGATAGGTCACCAGCCAAAAAAATTATTTTTTTAAATTCACTTGTAAATAGACTGTCACAATTATTATTTTTACTTTTAGTCATTTTTTTGAAAAAAAAACATGCGCACACCTGGTGGCATAATAGTCAACAAATTGACGGATGCCACTTACTGGTAGAAGTAGAAGCAGAAGTAACATGCAAACAAATCCATGAGAAAAAAGAAGTAATGATAAATGTGCTTTAGAATTAAAGATAGATATTTATAAAGACCTTCTTCACACTTAAAGACCGGTAAGACGATGTTCGTAGATGGTTAGTAAGTTACTTTAGAGTCTGTTTGCAGTTTAGTCTTTCTGAGCTTCCCTCTTCTGTTTACATTGTTTAATTTTTGGGGAATAACGAACCCGATTTGAATTGTTACCTTTTGTTGAACAAAATCATGGTCCCAAGGGCTAGATTTAGGACACAATTGGAAGTCATATTAATGATAAATACACAGAAGAGTATAATTATTCGGAAATTATTTTCTATTCAGACTTCAGGATAATTATTACGATACATAAAGTTTACAATCATTGCAGCTAGAATTTGTTTTACTAAGGTACATCAGGGACGTTAAGTAATAGATATATGCCGAATACTGTTCTATATGTAAAATTATCAGACTGTTTTGGCCCGTTAGGGCCGAATATTGTCTGATAATTTTACATATAGAATAGTATGAGGCATATATCTTACTTAAAACATTGCCATTTAAATGTCCAAAAGTTACCTGGAGGAGTCCGATAATAACACAATGGGAGTTTAGCCATCCATTGTTTTCTACCCGTCTGATAAGTAGATAAAAGAAATGAGACGGTAAAAAAAGTGAGTGAACTCTTGTTTCATTAATTTCATTCATTCAATGGCAGTCGTTTCGTTTAGCAGGACAGGGATCCGGTGGTGAAAAATTTTTTTTAATGAAGTACATAAATTGATATTGATACTGGCATAATTTTAGGTGATATTTTAACCATCACCATGGACAGTAAAATGCAAATTTTTACCCTAGCTGAAATTTTAAGCTAATTCTCAGGTTTTGAAAGTGTGGTTATCGGGGAACAAACATAATAGGAGATTGCAGATCCTTTTTCAGAAATGAATTTAAATTCGCTAATTCAATGTGCCGAATCAAAAAATCTTTTTAAAGAGTGGAAAGTATTAATGTTGTGGAAGGTTTAAACTCGGATTTCTTTTCATCTTTTCTTAGCTACTTTTTCTTAGCTATTTTATAGTGTGACCAACTTAATTTCCTTTCGTTTGGTTTCCTGATTTTTTTTTTCTTAACATTTTTATTGGGGGTTTCTGGATCACATATTTAAACTTAATTTCACTCTTCTTTTTGTTTTTCAAATACCGTCCGATTTTGTTATCACTGCCGTTCGATAATGTATTATCAGACTGGTAATTATTATTATCGGACGGCTACAGGTAAATTTTTAGACTACAAGAACAAAGGATTGACGTCACAGCAATGTTTTAATACTATTTAAATCCCTGGATACATTTAATTTTGATTGTAAATATCTGTCCGTTAGATTCAACAACGTGTAAGCTTCCATATCTGTTTGTGTCGTTATATTCATTTCCTTTGTAGTAAATAACATTTAGAAAAATAAAAATTCATGAACATGGGTCACTGAATCTTCTTTTTTACACCTACAGCTGGACGAGTGGCCTTCGTCGGAGATCTTCGTGAGGCACCAGTGGGAGGATACACCCAAAGGGGACAGACTTGGGGGGTTTCTTTGTTCAACTACCCTGACAGACGGGACAAACCTCCATGCATTCCGTTCCCTAAATCCCGATGGCATTCTAGCAAAATTTCTTCATGTTAAGTACGTGTTCGATTACAAACAACATTCTATTGCGTTAAATGATTTTACTTCAATAGAACATGTAGATCTTACAGTAAGTAATTTATAATGTTGGTTTTTGATTTATGAAAAGAATTTTTAAAAAATGAACCCATGAGTATGCATTAATTATAATAAATGAGAAAAAATCATGACAGATCGAAGGCCAAGGCATATGTTTTGAACAGTTTTCGAGTTTGGAAAAATTTGTTACATGTGGACTTTTAAAACTTTTTAAAGCCTTTTAGTACTTTTAAATGAATGTGTAAATTGTGTAAGTTTCTATATTGTTTATTTTTATGGGTTTTTTATCCTTTGTAGAGAAAAAGATATTCTTGTTAGTCCAAATTTTGGATTCCCCATCCTTTAGTGAAGAGGATGTTCTAGAACTATTTAGAACATTGCCAATAGGAGAACCAATCAATATGGTACTACAGTGTATTTCGAAATTGTAACATGTAAAAGACTTTTTTCATATTAAATTATGTAAAGTATGCATGTGTGTCAAGGTCAAAATAACGTGAATGTGTTTTTATTTTCGCTTTTCATATACCAATTTGTTATACCTTTGTTTTTATATTCAATTTGACTACGGATTATTCATCTAACTGATTTAAACATAGGACCATATGTGTGACAGGAAAACAGGGGAAGCCTTCTTCATCTAGGCACCTGATTCCACCATTGGGATTCACAGGGGATCCGTGTTTTATGCCCTCTTCACATATTTATATTGTTTGTAGCTATAGATTCTTAACATCGATTTCCGTTAACGTTCGTCTTCTTCATATATTTCACGAGAGGTATTTTAAAAATCGTTGTTATATTACTCAGAGATAGTGCAAAACGATCTTCTTCATGATCAGCAAATCATCATAAACAGCATCCAAATCTGTTCCCTACAGCTTGTTAAAAATAAGAAAATTGACATAACTTGTAATAAAGTTCTTCATTTTTTTTCCTTCAGGTATTATATACCAGGACAACAAAACTCTTATCATTTATTGATTTTCAACTGGAAGCGACCAAACCAGGTAAGTTAAAAACACTTCTGACCAGGAAGAATTTACCGAAAGATTTTTTTTTAATTGCAAAAATATCTAAATAAATTCTATTTTAATTTTTATCTTATGAATGTCGGGATATTTCACGTGTTCAATTATTTCAATTTAAATTATCGTATTTACTCTTAAATTAAAAAAAAAACATTTTACCTTTCAAACGAAATATCTTTTGTAGCCATAGTAACAGAAGATAGTAAGTATATATTTTTTTAAGATTTAGATTGAATTTAAAGAACATTTCAACCTTTGTGTCACGCACGTTCATGTTCTTTCCAATTTGAAATTTGTGATGTGATTTCATTTAACTATAAGGAAGAATACAAATATTAAATTATCCTCTTTAATTTTATTTTTAATTGAAAAATATTTAAAGTTACGGATCATATCACCCAAATTGTAAATAGATTGTCAGGTGTATGTTACAAGAACTATGTGTTAAAATATAATCTGATACATTTGTAAGCTTTTTCAAATGCAAATTATTAACAAGAACGGTGTCATATAGTACGACTTCCCCAAGTCTTCCACAAAAAAAAACTGGCTACATGTATTTACTGTCTTTTCCTTAATAGTGGAGAAAAATAACTATATATGAAGCCCAGGGAAGTCTTCCTAAATAGCCAGTTTTCCAGGGAAAGTTCCAATATAAATCAAGGCTTTAGGGGAAGTTTCACTCTATAGTTAGTACAAGGGAAATTTCCAATATATTGCCAGGTTTTAGGGGAAGTCTCACTATATAGCTAGTCTTCCAGGGTAAGTGAATACAACATATTGCCAGACTTTTGGGGAAATTCTCACTAAAAAGCCAGTTTTCCAGGGAATGTTTCAATATATAACCAGGGTGTTGGGGGAAGTCTCACTATATAGCCAAGTTTCAATATATGGCCAGGCTTTTGGAGGAAGTCTTACTATTTAGCCAGTCTTCCAGGGAAAATTCCAATACTAGTATATAGCCAATCTTTTGGCAAAATCTAACTACATAGCCAGTCTTCCAGGGGAGGTTCCACTATATAGCTAGACTGAAAGTTTCGCTTTATAGTCAGCCTTGCAGGAGAAATTCCAATATATAGCCAGACTTTAAGGGGAAAGTCTCACTATATGACCAGTCTTCCGGGGAAGTTCAAATATATCTATTAGCCAGACTTTTGGGGAAAGTCTCACTATATAGCCAGTCTTCCAGGGGAGGTTTTTGTATATAACCAAGCTTTGGGGGAAGTTCCAATGCATAGTCAGACTTTTGGGGAAAGCCTCGCCATAGAGGAATCGTGCTATACAGTATCGTTTTTTCTGCTATTGTTTGTACACAGTTTTTGATACACATTTTAGTTATGCTGAAGACAGCATATGTGAATTTGACGTCATCAGGCTATTTTTCCCCAACGGTTAAAGCTCTGCGGATACCAAATCAATCGAAGTTTCTGGTGTCCGACCAAGGACGTCTCCAATGCAGTCAAGTTACGAACTTTTTAACAAACTGTAAATGTAAGACCGTTTCTATTTCAAAATTCAATGTATGAAATATAGGTCATTTATATCAGTTAGGATTTGTCCTTATAACATATATCTTGTGTAAAAATTGTTGAATATGAAGATAAGGAACAGTTACAGTAATTAAGCTCAGAAGTCCATTGGGTCCAATACAAATCGGAAGTATAAGAAAAACGACATTCAAAACATCAGAGGTGAGATTAGATGTCGTTGAGAAGTAAGCATCCCATTTTGCCAGTCATACCAAACGTGTGCTCATCGTCACGACCAGGAAAATACGTAGACAATTCAGTGACGAAAATGACCTTACAATTTATATGAGTAACGTCCGTTAACATTAGACTTTTAATTTTTATAGATTGCATTTGCTAACAAGGTCATTGTATCGATCATAAATTTGAAAAATGCCTTTAAATATAGATTGTTGATACCCTTATATCATCAACTTATTTGTCAATAGCTTGTCGCGCTTTACAAATTATTTGTACGTAGAAGATGATTGATGTATCGAATCAACTGGGAGACATTTACTTCATATGTAGATGATTTTGGTGTACTGCATATAATTAAAAAGAAAGTCGACGATAAAAAAGTTTATCATAAAAAGTTTTGTTGTTAGTTTGCTATTTATGACTTTTCTAGTGAAGAATCCTATTATGAACAGATATGCCTATTCTAGTTCAAATGGATATATCGATCAACATAGGAATTAAAATGAATATTGTTAATTGAAAAAGGTGCATTTTTGATCCATCTAAATGTCAAATTGAAGCCTAAGGCAAGGGAAGTCTTCTTTTCATGCCGAAGTTTTTGAATAGATTCTGTTACATCTGCATAGTGTATTAAACATATAAGTGCATATAATTATTTTGTCGTTAACAACAGCGCACTAGCGATTTCTCTAAGATTTGCAAATAATATACAATCTGAGAAAATGTGTTAATTAAGATAACTAATATTTCAAAAAATGTTCTTATATGCAGTATGCAGGACTTGCTTTAATTTTTTGAATTTGAAATTGAAACATTAGGGGTTTTTTAATATTGTCTTTCATGTGTTTGTATTATTAGGTCATTTCATCGTGAGGAAGTCCCTTAATGATAAGACCTGGCGTTTTGAATACAGATATCAAGTACAGCTAGATCCGCCAAAATATCTCGGCATCAGAGGAAATGCTCTGGACCTGATAGTAAAATTCACATAGTAGATATAATCCATTTCAAAAGGAAAAAGAATACTATTTTATGTAACTTTAATGAATGTTTTTAAATTCATTGCAAAATAACAATACATTTTATTATTCAATACAGGCTGAATCAAAAGAAGGATTAACACAGTTCCAGCAGCAGGAAAGACACGGCCTCGTCTTCTTAAAAATTCCCGGACGAAACGGTAGGTTCTGGTTTAGGCATACAGGGTTATTTTTTTTTCTTTAATTTTTGCCTTTTTGTTGTAATTAAGAAATCAATATGTCTTTTTTGAATTCGCCTTCTTTTTTGCCGAGGGCGAAAGAGTTAAAAATAAATCAGGGACAAAAAGATCCCTGTATAAAATATAGAACTTTTTTTCCTTTTTAGCTCTACTGGTCAGAGACCAGAAGAGCTTATGCGATAGTAATGCGTCCGGCGTCTGTCCGTCTGTCTGTCTGTCTGTAAACAATTTTTCAAAATGCTACTCCTCCTACAGTTTTGGTCTGATTTCAATATAACATGGCACACAAGTAGACTACACTTAGATACATAATTCTGTGTATCGGTTTTTGATTTCGATGAACGGTGTTGTCGTGCTTACTAAAAATAGATTTTTTTGTGAAATTCTTTCAAAATGCTACTCCTCCTACAGTTTTGGTCTGATTTCAATATAACATGGCACACTAGTAGACTACAGTAAGATACATAACTCTGTGTATCGGTTTTTGATTTTGATGAACGGTGTTGCTGTGGTTACTAAAAATAGAATTTTTTGTGAAATTCTTTCAAAATGCTACTCCTCCTACAGTTTTGGTCTGATTTCAATATAACATAGCACACAAGTAGACTACACTAAGATACATAATTCTGTGCATCGGTTTTTGATTTCGATGAACGGTGTTTCCGTGGTAACTAAAAATAGAAATTTTGTGAAATTCTTTCAAATTGCTATTTCTCCTACGGATTTGGTCTGATTTCAATATAACTTGGCACACAAGAAGATTACACTAAGATACACAATTCTGTGTATCGGTTTTTGATTTCGATGAATGGTGTTGCTGTTGTTACTAAAAATAGAAATTTCTGTGAAAATCTTTCAAAATGCTACTCCTCCTACAGATTTGGTCTGATTTCAATATAACTTGCTACACAAGTAGACTACACTAAGGTACATAATTCTGTGTATCAGTTTTTGATTTCGATGAACGTTGTCGCCATGGTTACTAAAAATGGAAATTTCTGTGAAATTCTTTCAAAATGCTACGTCTCCTACAGTTTTGGTCTGATTTCAATATAGCTTAACACAGAGGTAGATTACACTAAGATACATAATTCTATATATCGGTTTTGATTCGGATGATCAGTGTTGCCGTGCTTACTAAAAATAAAAATTTCTATGAAATTTTTCAAAATGCTACGTCTCCTACAGTTTTGGTCTGATTTCAATATAACTTGCCACACAAGTGGACTACACTAAGATACATAATTCTGTATATCTATTTTTGAGTTCGATGAACATTATTGCCTTGGTTACTAAAAATAGAAATTCCTGATAGATGCTCTCAAAATGCTACTCCAAATACAGTTTTAGTCTGATTATAATATAATGTGGCATGCAAGTAGACTGCACTGAGAACATAAAGAGACTTATAATCAAGGATCATTATTCTGTTTATTGCTGTTGTAAAGTTTCAATTCCCAACTTCTATTTTAAAGTACTTTTCTCTTCCTTTGCTATAAGTACAAACCAGTCTCGACAGAGACTTCTGGTTTCGTACAAGGCTTCATAAAACTTTGTAATGCCACGCAGATAATGAAGTGCCTGTAATAAACATGTTGATATAAAACTCTATTTATTCACTTTACTTTAATTTATTTATTATTCATTTATTTATCTATCATTATTCATTCATTCTAGTTTCCGAAGATTTACATACATGATTTGAAATTTAAATAATGTGAATATTTACAAAGTAATTCATGTCTCATGGTGAATAGAATGTCAAATACATGTAGGACCTTATATATATCACTATCTAAATTTCGTTTCTTTATAAATTAATTTTTTTTAGATGTGACTGTTAGTTTTAATGAAGACCGTGGTATCTATGAACTTCGGCCGTGTGACTGTGAAGCAGAAAATGGAATAAATCTGGTGCACACAAACTGTCCAGTGTAGATTTTTGCTGTAAATTTATGAAATGTTATTTGCAAAATGAAAGATAAAATTTTGATAGTTTATACGTAAACCAAGAGACAGTTTTATTATATTAAATTTTTTATCACTCTTTATTTGATGTAATTTTTATTTGAAAATTTATAACCAGCATCTAGTACAATGTAATTTAAACAAACGGAATTTATATTTATACACAAAAATACTAGGGCTAGGTTTACTTTTTATTCATAATTTTTTAAGAACTTGTACATACAATTGTAAATTTATAGAGATTTTTTTTTAAATAGAGAATAGAGCATTTTCTTGGAACATGCATTTGCTGTCTTTTAAATGACTTGTAACGGTTTATTATTAAAACTTTTATACAATTTCATTTTTTTAAAATATCATTGTAACGTTTTCGTCTTATGTGTATATTCAATCAGAAGGTACCCTAGAGGCACGTTACAATAATGGGTTCGAAGGTACCTGTGCTTAAGTAAAATTAGATAGAACAAGTGTGATCAATTACAATCAATTTATTAAATTAATCAAACGAAAAACAATACACAAGTTTAATATAATGTCCCAATCCACAGTGTAATGTACAATAATAATTATATTTAAAAGGTCACAGATGCGCGTTAGACTCGGTGAAAGGTGCTAACGGCTTAAGGTGCTAGGTGCTACCGATGATACTGAAGCAAACTGGTTCTAGGTGTCCGGTGTTCAGGTGCCAGGTGCTACTGTTATAAGCTAATTGGGTCTAAGTTCCATCTTTGCTTGACTGGTGCTATATAACCTTACTCGGTGTTAGGTGCTAGGTTTCTGCTGAAATGTACTAGATCTAAACTCGGAACATAAATTCACAAAGTAACTCGAAGTAAGGTGCAAGCGCACCCGACTATCTCAATAATTCCGCACATGCTCAACTAAAGTCCACCACCCTAATTCTATAACTTCTGGTTATAGAATAAAGTAATTTATGTCATTAAAGTAAAAAGTATGCCATGCAAATTTACCAACACCTCGGATACATACATGCAACAGATAATTAATTCAAGTACGGTGCACTGTCGTAATATAGTCAAACGGTGCAACTTCACACCGAACTAGAAGAATTGACTAAGTTTTACTTGTCAAAAAAAATAGAGTAAATACCAATTCAAACTGCTAACAATTTACAAACTTTAAATAACAACTATAACTTTACTGGGAGAGACAATTTTCTGTGTCTCCCAGGGTCATGCAGAATCCCGAGTGCACCGACAATCTAAATATCGCTGAATTTAAATATTCAATAAATCTAAATTTCTAAATATTCAATATTACATGTACTTTAAACTGGATAAATGTTCTCACTGCGCTAAAACTTGTAATAAAACTATTTCAAAATATCTTAATACTTTAAAATTCTTACTAATATAAATACCTCGGATCAGGTGCACGGTGCTGTGCAAGGTGGAACTGCAAGCGGAATTCTGACAAACGCACTTTCAAAATCTTGTCTTTTATACCTTGACGCAATGGTGCATCGTCTACGTCATATGTCATTCGTAAAACTTCAAAAACTATTCTTTAATCAATGTACTTGAATACTTTATTTACTAATACAACATCTATAAAACTCATTAATCAGCCGATAATTTTTAATCTAATCCAGGCGTCTTATTTATAAAGTTTTGTATAGAAAGTTCACAGGTATGTTGGCGTATATAACAACTTATCCGGAGATCCGTATTTTCTACCATACCATTCTACAATTAGTGTGTAAAAGCCATTTCCGGTAAGCATCCAATAAAATAACGGTAATAATTCACAAGAAAAGTTCTT